TAATTTAATGTATGAAACCACAAAAACACTGCAATCGCGCGGATAATGTGAGCTGACATACGCAGAATCGCGATTCCGGCCAAGCATGGTCTCGAGGAATAGGTTACAGGTCAAAGGCCAATTTGGTCAGCGTCAGATTTTTAGGGTAGATTTAAAATTAATTACCTCGAGGGTACTGAAAATTTTGTCGCGATCTGCGACTTTTTACGCGAGTTAGGTATTCGCGAAAAACGGAGGGGAGGGGTCCGGTCGAGCCCTCCCCTCCCCCTATAAGCGCGTGGATTAAGAAGTTGACCTCGGGTCAAGGTCACAGAAAAGGTCATGTTGGATGCCATTCGATTTGTATTGCTGAGCTGAACACATTAATGGTCGTTTCAGCTCTCTAGCATATTTCTATCTAAAGTAATGTAGGGGAGAGCGGGGAGAGTTGTATCATGTCCAAGTTGTATCAGGGCGAATTGTGCCAAACTTATCCAATGGATGGCGCTCGCGACACGACCAGCCGACGAGGTTTTCCGGGCGCCATCTTTCCCTGTTCTGTCTTGTGGCTGAGTGGACGCGTCTCGAGGTGAGAGCCGATTTTATGTTTTTTTAATGTCATTCTAAAAACATGAGTTGCAAGAAAATGTGTGTTCTGGGCATTTAGATGTGCACGAATTTGAAAGATCTCCGTAGCGGTGGTGAGGGTAGGTTCTAAGGCTGCGTGAGTGAAAACGGATTTCTCCAGCTGTCCGCTGTTTTTTGAGCACGAGGATATTTTTTCCAAGATGGCGGCTAGGTACATGTTGTATCAGAGCCGGGTGGGGTATGTTGTAACATGTATGTGTGTATGTATGTATGGGTATGTTGCCTTTGATCGCGAAAGCTAAGCCCTGGCTCGCGTTTGTAGGTAGCTAGTCAATGCTCGTTCCATTTCGGCACAATGTGTTGGCTTCTTTGCTCTTAACGGGCCACTTTTGCGTCTAGTCTGTTGATGTTTCGTTCGCATTGCATTGACCTAAGTTTGGTCTAATAAAGTGAAGCCTTTGAGCATACCTATACATTGTATTAACCCCATTTCATATTGTTGTTATGTTCAAAACCAGTAGCGAGCACACTCCCTGAAACGTGAAATAGTGATACAAATTACCCCACCATGTGATACAACTCACCCAAGCCATGGGGCAAGTGGTATCAAAAACATTGTTCTATTCGGGAGACCGTAGAAGAAAAACCGGTAGAGGTAGCGGAAAAGTTACTTTGCACAAAAAAGCAGAAGAATCAAGGAAGGGGATAGTATGGAAATAATGAGTTTATCACGGATAGTTACGAGGTTATGGGTCTCGGAGTAAAAACTGATACAACCCACCCCACTCTCCCCTATTGTCAAAAAATGTTTGAGACGTTTCATGACCTGAAATGACCTCAGGGGCATAAACGGGTCATAGAAGCATTTTTTTTCGGTTTAGTGACATGTTCACCTGTGTTTCTTGGTGTTTGAGGGTGTTTAAGCCAAAAGAAAAGCATTTCAATTTGTTCCCTTTGATAAGATTTACGTATAATGGAGAGGTCACAAAATTGACTTGACCATAGGTCACACATATCCAAATTCTGAGAGAAACAAATTGTTGGTACTGATTCCCCTTGCAATAGGTGCCCTGAGTTTCAAGCTACTGGAATGTGTAATGTAGGAATGACTGAATCACAAAGTTCTTAGACACATGGTCACTTCACTTTCCCTGGTGACCTGACCATAAGTGACCTGGGGTCAGACATTTTTTGCACACGTTACGAATTTGATGCATCGTAAGCTTTACTAAGTATGGATTTTATCATTAACGATCATGATTTAATTCTTATCATAAGTTATTTTCACAACATAACATTCATAAATTTCATTTCTTTGTTGCTGACGAAGTTAGCTGACGATCGTTTGTTGAAGGTGCAACGTCTACACTTTCGGTTGCTAGGGACGCTCGGTTGCTAGGAATGGCGTCATCAGTAGCAAAATGCCGATGCCAGATGAAGATTTGGTGGGGGCTGGTCTCTCCTTTATTCTCGAACTTCCCCAAACAAATTTACACGTAAAATTATTTCCGCGTGAAATAATTTCACGCACTTCAATAATCATACCACTTCTGACACACCTTTTCAAAAGAAGAGTTCAAAAGCTATCGATTGCTCTGCCCCGCGTTATTCTAGCTACCATAGTTCTTGAGATAGCGGCATGTTTTCTGAAAAATATAATGACAATTGGCAAATTTTGACCTTTGATGACCTCTGGTGACCCCAATATTGCTCTAAGGTGAAAAATGACTGAAATACTTTCAAACGTACGCATTGAGAGCTATCGACTGCTTTTTACCGCGTCTTTCTAGCCCTCTTAGTTTTTGAGTTAGAGGTGGGTGGTAACATATGCCCCCCCCCCCCTCACTAGGGCGAAGTTGGCTGAGACCGCCACTGGGGCGCGGGTTAATTGATGTCTGTCAAACCAATTTCATGAAAGAATTGGCAGAAGTACACAAATTTAACTTGGCAGCAATTAAATTCACCGCACGTTCATGATTCTGTCAGAAGATATCGTCATCGGAATAAATGTGTATTAAACAAGCCCAACAAAACGATATTACCATCAACATGCCGCTATTTCTTCATGTCACACTAGCGTCTTGCGACTATCCTGCATATTAAAAAGAAAAATCCATGACGCTCCCTATGCTTGACAGAACACCTTAACGATACACGAAATCCGTGAGCAATTCCACCCTAGGATAACACACACATATGACTTAACCATCCTGTCACCAATAAAACGTCAACGGCGTTATTAGTTGAACACGGCTATGAGCTTCAACGGGAAGCTCTTGCCATCTTTTTAAGGTCACGATAGGCGTTATCACAAGTGTATTCGCGGCCATTGGGGCGACGTAAGAAAAGAAGAAAACAACTGGCCCCAAGAACTTTAAATTATCAGTTAGCATGCATCTTTTCCTTGACCTGTAGAGAATTTATCATTAATTGCTAGAGAAAATTGCATTTAAACTATTCCATCTATGCTTTTTTCATCGTTTGCACAATATGTTCTTTTATTAAGCTAGAAACACTAATTAGAAATAGTTCCCGCATCATCAAGAACAATAGGGGAGGCTTGAAGTGAATACAATGATCTAAACGGTGTTGTAATCTATGTGAAGACACTTCTAAAATTGCCTGTAGAAATATTGAAGGCAAAAGTTCAACTTTTTCACAAGACGGATGTCTATAAACCTATTCAACGTGTGACAACTCAGCCGGTATTTCGTCGCCTACAGCCCAGCTTTCCCTAGTGACCGATAGAGGCGCTGCTATCGATGTCCGCCCGTGCCGCCTAACGACGCTTCATATTTCACTCATGCACGATTGCGTACTGCAACTATATGCCACCCCTAGCCTCTTTTCCTGCCTCGCTCATCGTACGCATATCTGTTTCCAAGTCCGTTGTCCTGACGACCGTTGCCATGACGACCGTCACCATGGCGACGATTGCTATGGCTACCAGTGTCCCGTTGATTTTCGTAATCGTAGTCTGGTTGTTTTCTGGTTGGGTTTCTAGGAGGATATTCACTGTAGTCGTAGTCGTAATAATAGTCGTTCGCTGGATAGTTGGTTTCTTGGCGACCAGCGCTGTCATATTCGTCATAAACATAGTCAGTAACCTTGTTGTCAGCTTCAGGTTTTCTTTTTAGATATCTGTGGATGAAGAACAGTGCAATTTTGGTCAGGATAAGAAGCGTACATACATACAACGCACGTGACATGGATAAATATTGTTAAGGTGGAGGCTGCCATGTTAGAAGAGTTTGTTTGAAGGATTGCTCATTATATGGATATCCCTCTGATTTGGTGATTTTTGCGCTACTCTTTGGGACAAAAAAAAAAATGATTGACAGTGACCATGAGCCAAAATTGTTAGCAACCATTGTAGGCAGGGATGCGGAGCCGGAGCCGGAGCCGGAGCCGGAGCCGCCGGAGCCGGCATATTTTGCCCGGAGCCGGAGCCGGAGCCGGAGCCGTGAAACAATATAGCCCGGAGCCGGAGCCGGAGCCGGAGCCGTCAAAAAAGGGGGCGACTCCGGCTCCTTTTCTTAAGAGGAAACATAGATAACAGTAGAACAGGAAACAATTATTTACCTAGTTCGGTTTGACAGTACAAGGCGTAAAACAATGTGGTGTTCAAAATAGCCTTGTTATACAAATACAGAAGCAACGTGTACCAATCCCATCGCCTTTTTTCCTCCACTCGTATTTAATTGATCGCATAGGGGATTTACTGGGTAGAAGCCGGAGCCGGAGCCGCCGGAGCCGGAGCCGCCGGAGCCGGATCATTTTACTCGGAGCCGGAGCCGGAGCCGGAGCCGCCATGACATTTCACCCGGAGCCGGAGCCGGAGCCGGAGCCGATTTTTTTCTCTGGAGCCGGAGCCGGAGCCGGAGCCGTCTGAAATTTCCACGGCTCCGCATCCCTGATTGTAGGTAATTGATGGTGTTGAATGTTGATGCAAAACAATGACATATTACGACCTTTCCCCGGTGGTCACATGACCATATGACCCCGTTCTCACCTTTGGCCCGGTGCTGACCCGTAGAGGTCATGTTGTATGTGCTCCTGTCTGGCTGCTCCTATATTTTCTGCGCCTCCGTGGTAGTGCTGAATGTCCTCCCTTGGGGCATACCTATGAACATTGAGCACATGTGTTGGGCTTTTTTAAGTTGGTAAACAGGATGAAGGTGTTTAAACTTATAAATACGGGTAGAAAACAATATGGAACACATGACCAAACATTTGTGAATTCAAATTTGATAGACACTTGTAAAATGACCAGCGAACATGCTACGGATAGACATGAGATTGTAATATTTGTATTTAATTTACAGTTATTTCCATATGAATATCGCCTAAAAAATAATGTCAATGTTTATAGTGATAGGTAACTATAAAAAGAGCCAGTTTATGTCAAACTCTCAAGCCTGTAAGCAGAAGACTCACCTGAAATAGGGATCATTGTCGTCTTCTCGTGGTAGGTACCTTTCGTAAGGATCCTGCTCCCTCTCGACATTCTGCCTGCCCTGTTGACGTTCGTAGTTTGAGTAATACGGCTGGTAGGCTGGAAGATGGCGTGACTCAGCAGGTTGAAGGTCATCTGAGGTCACCGGGTCACCAGAGGTCACTGGCTTTTCAGAGGTCCTAGCCTCATCAGAGGTCACTGAACCTTCAGAGGTCGCAGGCCCAACTGAGGCTACCAGGTCACCAGAAGTCACCGAACGTAGAAAAGCATCCTCAATGTTGGTCGAGAAATCTTCATCGCTAATGCGGGAGTAAGAATGCTGGGCGTTATTTTCAGCTAGCCTCTGAACCTCACCATCTGACTGGTCCTCGGCTAGTAAAACCACATCCGACAGATCTTCTTTGGGTGTGGGGTGGAAGAGAGAACGTTTGTTAATTCGGTGTGGAGTTTTGGTGATCGGAATAAAACCATTCTGAATCACGCCAGGAGTAAACTTCTGAGGACCTGTTGGAGTTTCAGGAGCTTTAGAAGCCAGAGAATTTCCGCCCAACTGTTTGTTCTTTTCGGAATTGGTTTCGTCAGCAAAACTATCGCTTTTGTCGTCTTGGTAGTCATTGAAGAAATCGTAATCGTAATCGTCGTTGGTCGGATCAACATTCCGGTGCCCATTCCTGCGCGGGTTGCCATGGTGATCGTTGCCATGGCGACCGTTGCCAGGGCGACCGTTGTGTCGCAAGCCGTCTTGTTCTTGAGGGTGACGCCTTCTTGAAGTGTTTATAGTAGGAGATGATGGATAGTCCTCTTCGTATTCATCGTAAGAAGGATATCCTATTCCATCTTGGCTGTTACGATCATAATCATCTTCGTAGTCATAATCCTGATAGTCTTCGGTCACCTGTGGCCTTCTTCCTTGGCTGTAAAAAAACGAAACGAAAGGTAATGCAAGTTAATTCTATAATTCGATTGTGTAACTGGTGATTGAAGGGCACAAAGTAGAGCTAAAGGTCTTATACGAGGTCTTATATCGTTGTCATTGGTGACATCTCTAGTATCTCTAATCAGCATGACATCTCTAGTCAGTGGCATCTGCGACCTGCTAACCCTTTGAAACTGTTAGTGATTATCAGCATCCTCAGACTCACCCGTAGAGACAGCTCACTGACCTTTAGCCGACCTCATTAACCTTCAGTCACTCGCAATGACCCCATTGACCTTCCGTTGACCCTGACTCACCTGCTTTGCCTCGGTCGTCCGTAAATGTCATACTGTTCGTGGACGACATCGCCCGCTCTTCCTGCCTGCTCCAAGCTGTGAGAGTGCTGAATATCCTCTCTGGGGGCGTACCTGAACGAAAAAGCACACGAATGTTTCGAAATCAGTCCATGGATAGCTGAAACTAATAGCTGCAATGTTATGCCGATCGAGAACGAATAAAAAAGACTAGACTTCGATAAATGGTAGATTCTAGGACCTCGTTTTCTGATTTCTACGTTAAATCTAGGATAAGCGAATGAAAATAAGGCTTCACTTTATAACAGTAGAAAGACTCCCTTAGCGGTGAGGCAGAGTGTAGGATATGAGATGATCAGAGTTCATATTTTTCATATTTTCATATTTTTTATAGAATCGACTTAATTCGAGCTGTAACACAATCCAGACAATTTACGTGTCCTTGAAAGAATGACAAAAGTAAAAACTATATCCAAACCTCACCTGAAATAGGGGTCATTGTCGTCTTCTCGTGGTAGATATCGTTCGTAGGGATCCCGTTGACTCTCGACATTCTGCCTTCCCTGTTGACGTTCGTAGTTTGAGTAGTACGGCTGGTAGGCTGGAAGATGACGTGACTCCGCCGGTTGAAGGTCATCTGAGGTCGCCGGGTCACCAGCGGTCACCAAGTCACTGGAAGTCACCAGGGATCTTCTACTAATATGATGATTAGACACAATCGGAACAAACCCAGTATGAATGACACCAGGCGCGAAGGCGGCCATCTTGCTATGACCATCGTCACCAAACCGTCTCACTTGATCTGTTTTTAGTTGAGAGTGCATTTGCCCAGACGATGCTGGACTCTTGAGTTTCGTTTTCTTGCCTTCTGCAACAACGCTGCCTTCGCGGGGAGGTTTGGAGAGTCGCGCTAGGAAGTACTTGAAGGGGATGTCTCCTCTGAATATTGTCATTCCGGGACTAGATTTGCGGGATGACGAAGCAGGTGATTCGATGTTCTCCACTTGAGAAGGAGGATGTTTTACTCCAGAAAGATCATTACCTTCTTTTGAGTGAGGGTGCTGAATTTCAGATGGAAGTTTCGTGTCTTCTTGGTGAGACTGCTTGACTCCAAAAGGGTTTCCCACTTTAAAGGGCTTCCCCTTAACAGATGTAGGACTTCCAGCTCCCGTTGACTTCCCAGCAACAGAGCTTACGGGTCTCGGCGTAGTTACTGGAACACCTTTAAAGTGGCGATGTATCACAGGATGAACACTTCGCGACTCTTCTAAAGTGGAACTTTGTGAGCCAGAGCCTTCAAGGTCTCTTCTATAACGTTGGGGAAGGCTTTCCATAGTGTTCTTACCGCTGAGGATTTCACTAATCCCTTGATGATAGCTATGTTGATCAAGTCCAGCATTGTGCTCGCCAAAGTAGCGGCTCTTGACATTATCGTTGTCATGGTTACCACGTTGGGTAAAATCATAGTCACCATCATCTCTGCGAGTATCTTCTTCGTTGCCATAGTAACTAACATGCTGGTTGTCATGACGACCATTCCGAGCATCAAACTCGTTGCCATAGTAACCACGTCTCTCAGCGTCGAGTCGCTGTCCCTCAGGTCTACTACCTTCATTCTTGTAGCCATCCTGGTAGCCATTTTGATAGCCATAATCACCCTGGTCGTATAGGTACTCACTATTGGTACGATCCATCGCCGTTTCCTCGTATCTACTAGGATACGGTTTTCTACGATGTCCAGGATCCCTTCCCCTGCTGTACTCTCCAAACTGATCTGTCTCTTTCTCCACGGCTCGGAAAGCTTCTTCATCACGAGCAGCCTCTTTGTAGGGGTCGAAGGCATCGTAACCGTCTTCGTAACCATGCCCAACGACATTTGAATCTTCGTAATTCGCGTTGGCGTGCTGTGATTCTGGATATTCACCGTTACGGAAACTATTACGTGTACCGCTGTGTCCATGAGCTTCAGCATCGTTTTCGCTGTAGTCTCCCCCAGGGTGTGGTCCATTTCTGTAGTCATGATCGTCATTTCGCTGTCCTTCGTAGTCTCCTTGGTATCTGTAGTCATCCTTGTCACCACTCGGTTGGCTCGCGTAGTCTCCATCGTATTGAGTCGGACCAGATAGACCACTGGTTTGTCTGTAGTCTCTGTTATCGTCAGGCTGAAGAGAAGCTGGCCGTTGACTCGGGTCCGGTCGAGGGTCAGGCTGTCGCGAAGGCGCCTCATAAACAGGTTTGTACGCGGTAGGTTTCGTAGGAACATCTTCTCCGGGCGAGATTCCGAAATTAGGTGAGGTGTGTTGGCTAAATCCGTCAAAGGCATGGGATGAAACTTCACGAATTTTCGCCATCAGGCTTTGATGCATGTCGTCTCCCATGAAGCCTGTAGCGGTGGCTTCGTCGCGGCTCTCGCCTTGACTAAAGGTGGCGCTATCGTCACTCTTATAGGTGGCGCTCCGGTCGTTGTTATAGACGGCAGCACCTGTAGCATCTAGTGGGTGTTCTGAATCGATAGCTCCTTCACGGCCGGTTCCTCCCGGCAAGGAGAAATCGGTGATGTCTGACTTTGCCGCTCTTCCTTCAATGACGGCATGAGCATGACGTTGTTGATTATCGATGGCTCTTCCAGCAGGACTCAGCTGGTCGGCAGCCATCGGCACAGGCCTCCGGAAGTACCCACGGGCAGTCTTCACCGCAAGGCTGCAAAAAAAAAAAAAAATATGGGATGTGTTGCACTGGTGTCAAGCAGTTTGTGAATGCTATAAAATATATCAAACATTACAGTAGACTTGGAATTTTGCTGTTCCTATTCGTTATCCAGTGTTATATTCCACTGAGAGCATTCAAGAAATTTTGTGTGTAATGTATTCTCAGGGAAAATAACAAATGCTTCATACATTTCATAACTTTCTTTGTTACAACTTCGAGTGAATGATTGCATCTTCTTGTTTATCTCAAGAGCTGCTTTAACCCGCTCCCGGCTGGATTTCCTGGATTTCCAGGCCCTGCTGGGGGGGGGGGGTGTCTGAACACCCCCTTCTAACTCAGCTCCTGGGCCACGTAGCGATAGGCGGAAGGCGGCGTTCCAAAGAGCGTCAAAAATAATGACGAAATTACTTCGGTCAATTTTATGGTCAGGTCAAAGGTCAGGTCACCAGAGGTCATTGAAGGCAAAATTTCGCAGATTTCCAGGTCGAATGTCGACAATTTCCAAGATGCCAACGCATAACTCGGGAACCAATAGAGCTACAGCGCCGCGGAAAAGCGCATTCGGTAGCTCTATTAACGCCCTTTCTGAATAATCCCCTCAGATTTGACCTAACATCAACGGTTTTGCCTGCAGGGGGCAAAAACTGCAAAAACAGTCGATTTTTTTCGGAAACAGTTTTTCTGCAATAACTTTTGACCCAAGCCTTGCACGATCTTACTTTTACCGGCATCGTGTTCCTCTCGTCAAGACGCATCGAATGAACTATAACTTGACCTTGAAAGGTCAACTTGAAAATTTGATCTCAGGTCAAGGTCATGACCTGACTTGAAAGGGTCAAGTTGCACATCAGTCGATCCGTATCGTCGAGCTGAACACATCTAAAGCGTTTTCATCGCTCTAGCATGCCTCTATCAAAAGTTATTTGCGAAAAACTGTTAGATACCATTCGTGACCTAAGGTGACCTCAGGGCATAAACAGGGGTCACGGACACCATTTTCATATTCAGTGTGTCTAAACCACTTGTAATTCAGTGTTTGGGAGTGTTTATAATGCCTTTCGTCCAAAAGAGGCGTATTTCAATTTTCTCCCATTGACTTATAATGGGGAGGTCGCAAAATTGACCTGACCTTAGGTCATCGATATCAAAATTCTGAGATATACATTTTATACGTACTATTGCTCTTAGCAATCGCTGAAAGTTTCGAAGCGATCGGTCACTCAGTGTAGCTATGACAGACATTGAAACTTTTTATGATGTGAGGTCACTTCAAGTGACCTGGTGACCTGACCTTGAATGACCTTGGTCTGAAATTTTCACAACATGTGTAGAATTGATGTATGATAAGGTGTACCAAAAACGGCGGCGCTCCGCATATTTGCAAAAAACCACAAGGGGGGTGTTCAAACACCCCCCCCCCAGCAGGGCGCGGGTTAAAAAAAACTGCACCTATATGCACGAGTTTTATTTTTTCCTCGCTCACAAAATCATGAACTCAAAGAAAGATTCAAAGCGAATCAAAGAATTTACCCATGCGATTCTCACCTTTCTTCGTCTACTTCCTTCCCAGGATGATTTTCCAGGAACTCTTCGAACGACTCATCTCCCGGAGAAAGATGAACCAGTCGGGAGTGTTCAGCTGACAGGTCACCGACCTCGGCCAGGTCACCAGGCGCACTCTGCAACAGACGACCACCAGTGACACGTCATAAACACCGAGCCAGTGACGTCATAAACACAGAGCCAGTGACGTTCAAATAAGTCATCTTGAGATGGTGTGATAAGTTGTAACGAGGTTATCATGGACACGAAATACATGACGTTATTTCCAAAGGTCCCGAATAAATGAGCAAGTAAGAACGTATCACATCATATTTTCTAATTCACTGAGCATTATTGTTCACTTGTAATGCACACAGCGCATTTACTCTACTTATGCATCTCCAGTCAATTAAATACGTAAACGATAAAGTGTATGGGCCTGAATCAATTTGCACGTGTTCGATGGCTGCAATTGTATGGTTAGCCGAGAAAAGCTGCATGAAAAAGCCGTGGGAGAAATGTTCTCAGAGATACGAAAGGCAATACAAAGACACCCGCATCAATGGTGGTTGCGCTTCAAATACGTTATATTTAGGTTTGCCAGACTATTGCTGTTCAAACTGTACTACTTTATATTGAGACGGGTTACACAGCACATTCGGGTGGACGCGTTACGTCTAAATGAATTTATCGACACCCTCTCGGAAATTACAGCAATACAAACACACAAGAATGAATGTTGTGTTTGTATTCCACGCGTCTACCCGAATGTGCTGTGTAACCCGTCTCAATATATACAGGGTGTCTAAGAAACGAGACGATAAAGATTCGTTATCTCGGAAAGTACCTAATTATGGTAGGAGAATTACTATGTAGTATGTCATTCAAAAGAGAATTGTTGAAAGTTTTTATTGTACAGGTCTCGCGGGTTTTAGCGAGAGGTTTTGCACCTAGAAAATTAAGTGTACTTCAGGCTATATCTTCTCGTCTTAACCCGCGCCCTGCTGGGGGGGGGGGGGTGTTTGAACACCCCCCCTTGTGGTTTTTCGCGAATATCTCAAAAACGGCGGCGCGGAGCGCCGCCGTTTTTTGTACACCTTATCATACATCAATTCTACACATGTTGTGAAAATTTCAGACCAAGGTCATTCAAGGTCAGGTCACCAGGTCACTTGAAGTGACCTCACCTCATAAAGAGTTTCAATGTCTGTCATAGCTACACCGAGTGACCGATCGCTTTGAAACTTTCAGCGATTGCTAAGAGCAATAGCATGTACAAAATGTATATCTCAGAATTTTGATATCGATGACCTAAGGTCAGGTCAATTTTGCGACCTCCCCATTATAAGTCAATGGGAGAAAATTGAAATGCGCCTCCTTTGGACGAAAGACATTATAAACACTCCCAAACACTGAATTACAAGTGGTTTAGACACACTGAACATGAAAATGGTGTCCGTGACCCCTGTTTATGCCCTGAGGTCATCTTAGGTCACGAATGGTATCTAACAGTTTTTCGCAAATAACTTTTGATAGAGGCATGCTAGAGCGATGAAAACGCCTTAGATGTGTTCAGCTCGACGATACGGATCGACTGATATGCAACATGACCCTTTCCGGTCAGGTCATGACCTTGACCTGAGGTCAAATTTTCAAGTTGACCTTTCAAGGTCAAGTTATAGTTCATTCGATGCGTCTTGACGAGAGGAACACGATGCCGGTAAAAGTAAGCTCGTACAAGGCTTGGGTCGAAAGTTATTGCAGAAAACCTGTTTCCGAAAAAATCGGCTATTTTTGCAGTTTTTGCCCCCTGCAGGCAAAACCGTTGACGTTAGGTCAAATCTGAGAGAATTACTCAGAAAGGGCGTTAATAGGGCTATCGAATGCGCATTTCCGCGGCGCTGTAGCTCTATTGGTTCCCGAGTTATGCGTTGGCTTCTTGGAAATTGTCGACATTCGACCTGGAAATCGGCGAAATTTTGCCTTTAATGACCTCTGGTGACCTGACCTTTGACCTGACCAAAAAATTGACCGAAGTGATTTCCTCATTATTTTTGACGCTCTTTCGAACGCCGCCCTCCGCGTATCGCTACATGGCCCAGGAGCCGAGTTAGAAGGGGGGTGTTCAAACACCCCCCCCCCCCCCCAGCAGGGCGTGGAAATCCAGGACCCCCAGCCGGGCGCGGGTTAAGCTGTGTTGAAGATGCGATCGACTTGTTGGTTCATAAGCCGGCTATGATCGTGTAAAATGGCTTCATCGTAGATCGATTAGTTTTTGAGATATAACCGAAAATGTTAAAGTGCAAAACTTACCGCTTAATCTCGCGAGAGCCGTACGTCGGTTTTTATTGTCCGGCACGAATTATGACCATGCCACGTGCAAACATCTCGTGCCCAAAAAAGATTATTTTTAAAAAGTTGGCAAACCAATGACGATGTGGGCTTTTAATGAAATGTTTTCTGGAAAAGTCTTTTTCCGAGAATGGGAGATTTACATCGATCAAACCAGTGGCAGCATTGAACCTTTTGCTCGTCTGTGAACTGATTCATAACGTCGAATGACGCCGGATGAAGAGATCAGGTTTGTCAACTTAAAAATAGTATTTTTCGGGCACGGGATGTTTGCACGTGGCATGGTCGTAATTCGTGCCGGAGAACAAAAACCGACGTACCATAAAAATTTCAACAATTCTCCTTTGAATGACATATTAATCTTATTCCTAGCATAACTACTTTTCGAGATATAACGATACTTAACCCGCGCCCCGCTGGGCTATTCAGCCATACGCATAAATACGCGTTTTTCGGGCTTAGCCTAACCAAATAAAACACCGTTTAATTTACCCTAACGAAACTTAAGCTAACATTTTTGATCGTTTAATTGCAAGTTAGCCTAAATCTGGCTTATGCTGATATGAAGGGAATATGAAGGAGCCGTTGAAACAGAGCCAGAAAACTTCGCCACGGTTATCATGCGACCAGCTGAACTTTCCGCAGATTGGGAGACACTGC